TTCACACGGTCATGACCCTAGCCTGTTACAGAACCTTGGCTTTGTGATCAATCTCCAGAAATCATCTCTAACTCAGTCTTAGATGGTTAAATTCCTTGGATTTCAGATTCTGTTCAGGCAGTACTACAACTTCCTACAGCAAAAATCAAATCCATCAAAAAGGACATTCAGAGGTTATTGGTCTCACCATATCTCTTAGCTCGCATAATCAGTCTACTCTCTGCCTTAATCCAGGCATTATTCCCTGCTCTCTTGCATTATCGGGCACTGCAATGCCTAAAGACATGTTATTTACATCAGTTAACATCTTACAATCAACAGATCGCAACCCGATTTCATTATGGAGTCAGATGCCAGCCTTTAGCTAACATTATGAATTTTCTGTCATTCCTTTTCGATCAAGATGAATCCTATCAGTCAATTAACTTGTTTCACTCGCTATTTCTGCGGCACATGTTCCCATTGACAACTCTTCAGTAGATAAGGACCATTCTGTTTGCAAACTTTTGTGTTGCATTCGCTTCGCAAGGCCTCCAGTTCCTAAATATAGTCAATTCTGGGATGGAGCTCTCATGCTAGCATTCTTAGAATCTTGGCCAGATAAGGCATTCTTGCTTCGCCAATTGTTGGCCAAATTAGAACTTCTTCTTTGTTTGGTCTACTTCCGAAGAGTCTCCGACATCAGGGCTTTTGACTTTCATGCCCTTGATTTTTCTCCTGATGGTGTAAAGTTCTACATCACCCGACGCAATTCATCTAATAAGAACAATTCATCTACAGTGAGATACCATTATTTTCCAGAGAAACTCACTCTCTGTGTAGCTTATTGCATTCAACATTACATTTCATGCACTACCCCTCTTAGGGCACCCACCTCCTGGTGTCTTATGTGCGACCACACAAGCCAGTGTCCTGCCCTACGATTGCTCATTGGATTAAGTGGCTTCTAGCTTTAACTGGCATTAACGCATCTTTTGGGGATCACTCTGTTAAGGCCACTGCCACCTCCTCTGCATTTACGGCTAGAGACTCCCTGGTGGAAATTGAATCTTCCGCTGATTGGTCTACAGAGTCTACCTTCCATACCTTTTATTTTAGACAGTCACCACATGTTATCTATGCATTAAAAAAGCAAATATGAAGCCTCCTGTCTTGCCATAAAATTCAGGATTATTTTAACCTTTAGTGACCAACCCACCCATGGAATATTATTTTCCCACCCATGGAATATTTTTGCCCTTGTAGCACCTCCTTTTGTAGTACCTCCTTTTGTAAATTTGTTGAAAGTTTTTCTTTGCTTGTCTTCTTTATTTCTTACGTTCTTATATACATAGGGACATCATACTTCATGCACTCAATTGGAACATTACCTTAAAGGGACACTATAGATACAGTTATTCAAGGTAAATTACATCTGTTTGAAAATGAAACCAGTTTGGTTTTCATGCAGGGTCTGTCAATCATAGCCATGGGAGATGTAGCTAGGGCTGCATAAACAGAAACAAAGTGATTTAACCCCTTAAGACCGGAGGGCGTACTATTACGCCCTATTCTAAGCGATCGCGGTTGGGGGAACTCCCAGGGAGCCCGCCGCAGCACGTCCGACCCCCTGGAAGCCCCCCGGCCATGTGAGAGTGAGGTCCTTGCGAGGACCTCACAATCACATGGCCGGGATAGCTGGCTTCTGTATTGCCAGCAGGGGGACTGCCTGTAATGACAGGTGGTCCCCCTACTGGCTGAAAATAAAATAAATTAAAGTTAAATAAGTGTAAAAAAATAATAATATATACTTAGATCATATATATATATTATATATATATGATCTAAGTATATATATATACACATATACATACACACTCATACACTGTCTAGGTGTATTTTTCTATTAATATATATATAATTATATATATATATATATATATATATATATTAATATCAAATTACATGTAGACTGATACTGATTAAATATATATATAATTATTGTTATATATATATTTATATATAATATAAAAAAAAAATGTAAATACGTTAAAAAATAAAATTAAAAAAATAATTAAAAATAAATAATTAAAAAATATATAGATGTGTGTTATTTCGTTCTAACTGTATTGTGAAATTAAAATATATATATATCAAAATACACGTAGAACGAAATAATATATAGATCTATATACATAAATATATACGTATATATCACTATATATATATATACCTATATATAAATAAAAATATCTAAAAAAAATTATATAGATATATACATATATATATATACACATACGTATATATATACATATATTACTTCTACATATATATTTATGTAATATTTTTACATAATTAGGTATCTTAATTGATTACAATTAGCGGGACCTGACAACCCAATGCCGAAAGTAAAGGGAATTTAATTTGCTAGCACTATATTTAACCCTATAACTTTCCAAGACACCATAAAACCTGTACATGGGGGGTACTGTTCTACTCGGGAGACTTCGTTGAACACAAATATTAGTGTTTCAAAACAGTAAAATGTATTACAACGATGATATCGCCAGTAAAAGTTAAGTTTTTTGCATTTGTCACGCACAAACAGCACTTACACGGACGATATTATTGCTGCGATACTTTTTACTGTTTTGAAACACAAATATTTGTGTTCAGCGAAGTCTCCCGAGTACAACAGTACCCCTCATGTACAGGTTTTATTGTGTTTTCAAAAGTTACAGCGTCAGATATAAGGCTTGCGTTTCATTTTTTTCACATTAAAATTTGCCAGATTGGTTAAGTTGCCTTTGAGACCCTATGGTAGCCCAAGAATGAAAATTACCCCTATGATGTCATACCATTTGCAATTTGTGACCAAATGGCTACTAAAAAAGACTGGACATAGCCCATTTGCTATACCTTGGGTTGTCTACTATTGCAAATGGTATGCCATTATGGGTGTATATTTCATTCCTGGGCTACTATACAGTCTCAAAGGCAACGTAACCAATCTGGCGAATTTCAATTTCAAATGTAACGTGCTATATTTGACCCTGTAACTTCCCAAAACGCCATAAAACCTGTACATAGGGGGTACTGTTTTACACGTGAGACTTTGCTGAATACAAATATGTGTATTTTATTGCAGTAAAAGCAAACAGTATTATGACATTTACAGTTAAAATGTCATGTAGAACTAAAAAAATATAAAAAAATCTTTTCTCCCATTTTTTTCATATTAAATTATGTTTCATTACTAAATATTTGATATTAAATGAAAGCCCTGTTTCCCCTGAATAAATGATATATAATAAGGGTGGGTGCATTTACTATGAAAGAGGTGAATTACGGTTGGACAGACATGTAGCGCAAATGCCAGGTTTTGTTTACATTTTGTTTTGTTCACAACGTGTACATTTGGCTCCGTCCTTAAGGCGTTAACTCCTAAATGACAGTGAATTGAGCAGTGAAATTGCAGGGGAATGATCTATACACTAAAACCGCTTTATTTAGCTAAAGTAATTTAGGTGACTATAGTGTTCCTTTAAGTTTATTTATTAGTTTTGATTTTCTCTTGCCCAAGAGACCATACTTTCACAATGTTCTCTCTTTTTTCTCCTCGTGTGAAGACCTTTCGTTATCTCTGCTAAGAGTTTCCACCGTCTGTTGAACACTGGTTTTCCTGGTTGATTCCATTATGATCTACTCATTGATTCATTGTTTACATTGTTGATTCTACGGCTGTTCGGGAGGAGTTGGGAGGAGTCTGATGGCAGTTTATATTACTCTGATGTATTCTGATTGGTTAAACTTTTTTACACTGATTATAACTGGTTAACTGTCTCTTTGCTGCTGGGCGTTTTAGTAAAAAAAAAATAGTAAATATTCACCTCCTGTCTTTAATAAAATTTAGATTATTTGGACATTCTAAGGTTAGAATAATTCCAAATTATTTTACTTAGGAATTAATTCACTTCTTCACGAAGATGGAAATAGTGGCACATTAGATTATTCACGAAAAAGAATATGTTTTTAAATAATTGTATTGTAGGTCTATATCTACGTGGCATTTCAGATTTCTGTTGTATCTTTCTCACCATGGAATATGAGAACATATTTTCATTTATTTGCTAATTTAATGTTACTGTAACAGCCGTGAACAAAAACTGCAGTCTGATCTAAATGATTTTCTCTTTTACATTTCAGACTTGGCTTCATCCAATCATGTTCGGCTACAAAGGACATTCTGGAAATTGCTAAAATCCCTACAGAAGGATTTATAAGTCTCTCAGGCTCAATACAGCCAAACTATAAGCTTACTTATCTACCTGACAAGCAGCGACTAGCTACCTACCAAGAACTTGGTCACCCCACTGTGACTGATGCGGCCTAATGGGCTCCAGGCGGGAGAGCGCTCGGAGGCAATTATCCTGCAACATCCCCATTCCACCCCCTTAGACCTGTGGGGCAGATCCCGGTCCACCCATCAGAGGCTTCGTGCCCAGCCCTGCGGGAGACCATTGTTGCACCCTCGGAGAGAATGGCGCCAAGATGACGGAGGTGCCCAGATAAGCATGACTGCAGGGAAGCCAAGGCATATCACAAACAGGGCAGCTGTCCAAACCAATCCTATCACGGGCTCCCGACCCACTGCCGAGACACCAGGGATTGCGGCTGGATTTGATTTCACTCGTCACTCAGAGGATCCTGCGGCCCATGTTTGGTTTTTTACTCCTACCGGACCATCTCCTGCTGACTGCCTGGCTAACCCAGGTCTATAATCTGCCCCAGAGGGGCACAGGATGACGAGAACTCATGGCGACTGGCATTCCTCTACCTCTAATGCCTCTACACAATATGATGTTTTTTTCTCTTTATTTTATTTTGAATAGTCCCCACACATGGTAACACAATTTTTGCAGTGTTTTTCGCTTAAAGCAGCCTCATGGAGGCAACTAGCATTGTTGGCCGTGTGCAGTCTACTCAAAAGTTACTACCTAGGGCCGGGGGGCCCCTTGGGTATCGTGCTACTTGTTATTTCTGTGCCTAGGATATAGTCACTGTCTGTTCACCCAGCCTGAATGTTTATCTTGTTTACTCACCATGTTTAGCACAGCCTACTTACTATGAGTTGTATTCTATGACACGACTCTAAAGCCTGATCTCAATATACCAAACATGTGCAGTACCATGAAAATGCCTACTAACACTACGTTCTTCAACATATATATAAACTTATGCAAGGTATTTTCATATGTTAACTCATGTACCTGCATATGCTGTTGTGGCATTGCAGGATTCAATGTTCACTTGTGTGCAACAAAAATAAAGCATTTAAAAAATCACTACAGAAATGTGTGGTATGTCTTTAATCAATGATTTAATTTTATATAATGATACATTGGATATCATGCATTGGAAGTAAAGTTCTAGGAATGATGTACTGGATAGCAGGACAGAAGAATGATGCACTGGACATAATACTGTAAATATGTTACAATACAATAACTCTGGATATTATACATATAATCGATAAAATACTCTGGGTATGATACTCTGTGTGTAATACTCTGGGTATGATACCCTGTGTGTAATACTCTGGGTATGATACCCTGTGTGTAATACTCTTAGTATAATGCACCATGTGTAATACCCTGTGTGTAATACACTCGATATGATACATTCAGTATAATACTCTGGACATGATGCACTGGGTATACAACTCTGGGTGCAATACTCTAGGTATGAGGCACTGAATATAATACTCTCAGATAATGCATTGAGTATAATACTCTGGGTATAATGTACACAGTATAATACTCTGGGTATAACATTTTGGGTATGATGCACTTGATAAAATAATCTGGCTATGATGCACTGAGTATAATACACTCAGATAATGCATTGGTCGTGATACTCTGGGTATAATGCATTGTGTATAAAACTCTGGGTATAATTTACTCAGTATAATACTCTGTGTATAATGCGCTGGGTATGATGCACATGATAAAATACTCTGGATATAATGCACTGAGTATAATACTCTCAGATAATGCATTGGTCGTGATACTCTGGGTATAATGCATTGTGTATAATACTCTGGGTATAATTTACTCAGTATAATACTCTGTGTATAATGCGCTGGGTATGATGCACATGATAAAATACTCTGGATATAATGCACTGAGTATAATACTCTCAGATAATGCATTGGTCGTGATACTCTGGGTATAATGCATTGTGTATAATACTCTGGGTATAATTTACTCAGTATAATACTCTGTGTATAATGCGCTGGGTATGATGCACATGATAAAATACTCTGGATATAATGCACTGAGTATAATACTCTCAGATAATGAATTGGTTGTGATACTGTGGGTATAATGCATTGTGTATAATACTCCGGGTAGAATGCTTTGAGTTTAACATACTCTGTATAATTTACTCAGTATAATACTCTGTGTATAATGATCTGGGTGTGATGCACTGAGTATAATACTCTCAGATAATGCATTGGTTGTGATACTCTGGGTATAATTTTCTGGGTATAATGCACTAAGTATAATACTCTCAGATAATGCATTGGTTATAATACTCTGCAGTCAGAATAGTGATCTGGTTATGAATTAGAATCTCAAGCATGGAGCTGGTTCAGAACTAGTTAGCTTAATAAATATTTACTCCAATTTTAGCTGTTTTTTGGAGTTAAACTAGATGCAAAAAGAGATTCAAATCTTTGTTTCAATTTGTTTGCTACGAGAGAGAGCCCATTTGGCTGTAAAGCACACAGTGAGCTGTATTTATAGAATCTCGGCTTTTCTGCCGCACCGGTAAAACAACATCTTAGCCAGTTGTGAAATAACTATAATCTAGTCTTCACCATCATAATTTAGAGGTTCACTGAGCCTTCATTTCAGAAACTGAGTTAAGCACAGCTGGGGTATGGAAAAGATAAAACACGGAAATTGCTGAAAAAAAGAAAGAGTAAAGTATGAAAAAATAAATACAAATATTGTACATTTCATATATGTCGGCAAATATCATTTCAGCAATTTATTTCCGGAACTTTCACATGTGCTGGGTTTATTTTTATATTAAAACAAATAAAACATATTATTTTTACATCAAGTAGAAGATGCTGGTTCTAGCTTTACTATTAAGATAAGATATAACTGATATAATACACATTACATAGAAACATGTTATAACGTTATAGATTCATTCGATTCATGCAAGTTTACTCCAAGTCGTATCGAGATTCGGAATCTTCCTTTCATTGGGATGGAGTGCAGTGAATTAAGGGCTGGTAAACCGGGCAGCCTGGGATTACAGTATCCAAATACTACCAGAGTTATTCACTAAAGTGAGAATTCAAAGTGAATTTCAAATTAAAGGTCAAATTAGCAGAACTGGGAAATTCTCAGAGTCAGCAATGCTTTTAGTTTGGCTACTCTGGCATTCAGTTTGAAATTCACTTTGAATTAACATTAAATTCTCATTTTATTAAACAACTTTGATTGTATAATCACATTCTCTATGGAGGAATTGTAGGAGCATTGTGGCAAATGCCACGTGTATGTCTGTGGTCTCCAATGCTCCTCCTTTTGAGGAGCATTGGATTGGCCCATCAGCTCGTACGCACACCTCCAGGATTACACAACCCACGGAGGTGGTCACGGCAGCGCCGAGGTAGACTTGACGCTGGAGAAAAGGTGAGTAGTTTGTTTTATATACCTTTTTTTTTTGTGGACAGATGGGTAGGGGGGCAAATTGATAAGGCGCATCAGATTTGTAGCATTAGGAATACAGATAAGTATACCTAACTCTCAATGTTTCTTTAATAACGTATATTTTAACCCTATGATTAACCCTATGATTTATTTCTTCCCAGGTTTTCCACTTTGTATCTGTAACTTATTCATCTTCACCTTGCGACATCAATAGTGATTGCCTTGCTAACAAGTACGGTAGTGCCATTAAGCGGCCATGCGTGAATATATCTGACCCCTGCAGCATGTTGATGGATGCCGGCCGCTGCGGATCTACACCAATTTGTAGCCCCACGTCCGCCCATGGCATGGACAACATCAACGTGCGCGTGATGTCATGCAAAGGACGCACACGCACCTTCTGGGGTCAAAGGCCAGTTACGGCCCATCAGATCCACAAGAGGGGTATTTAAACTCATCTATTTCTTCAGCTCATTGCCCTGTCGTGGTTTCCCTAGTGGTTGTCCGAGAGTGTGTTCCTGAGTGTTTATTTCTGGTTATTGACTTTGGCTTTGTTTGACTTCCCTATATTCTGGTGTCCTTAACTTTTGGCTTTCCTTCATTGTTGTGTCTCATTCTGTGTCCCCGACCTCGGCAAGTATTCTGACTATTCTTAGGTACATTAAGTCCGGCCATTCTAAGGCCGGTATGACTTTACCTGTTAGTCCTAGGTGTGATACAGTTCTACGTGCTGGATCAACTTGTAATCCTGACAGTATCCCTGTTGCCTGTGAGGAAAATTATCCAAAAACAGAACATTCAAATGTATATAGTGGTTTATAAAAACCTGGACATTGCAAACACAAGGTTTTTAGAATAGTAATGAACAATATTTGAAAGGAATGCATATTACATATAATATTATACTAATACGATATAAGGAATGTTTTAAAACTATTTTTCCATAAACTTAGCTCAGCTACACTTGTAATTATCTAAAATGCATTATATTGTGATCACTTTGAATTCTGGCTGCTGCTGTTACAGTTATGGTGACAACACAAGAAACATGGGAAATCGTAGCTAGTATTAGAAATAGTAATGAGCACCTTTTAGTGTGTGACCTGTAACTGACAAATAAACAATCACTGAAATTACAAACGTATTCCTAACGCTATAGGGTCCTGCTCGCTGTTTATGCTGTCTCCCCCAACCCCTACAAGAAGTGAAAAAGTATTTTACTTATCTTCATTCCATTGCTGGTGTGCGCTCTCTCCATGGCCAGTCCCGACTCCTTGGCTGAGTTCATCAATCTTGAATATCTCAGTCAATTCAATGCTTTCCCTTAGGAAACCATTGGAAGACTAGTGTACATTTATTGCAAAACCACACTGCTCCATTTAAATGGACTCTATGAGACCATCTGATTGAAACAGCTGAATTACAAAATGGCAGGAAAACTATCAGCATTATAGATTCTGTGTGTATTATTTTGTTAATTTATACAAATAAATAAATTGCTCTTTTCGGCTTACACTTGCTATGTAGGAGCAGACAGACATATTTTGGTGTGAAGTAGGAAACCCATGCAGGTAATGCTGAGCTAGCAGGGGCTTGGCAGATAAGTGGTGTTTTGTGACCAAAGATGATTAAATATGGCTGCCCCCTGGAGCAAAGGTAAGCTTGGAGACACACTGAAAACGTATTGACATATTTCTTAATTAAAAATAACAATAATAATAATAATAATAATACGTAATGAGGCTTTAGCACGGTTAGGCAACCTTTTAGTAGTACTGTGCCAAAACAAGATCTTGCTGGTCCTATTATTTTAATAACTGAGGTGTGTTGCTGTATTCTGTTTGTGTTATTTATAAGTGCTGCAGTTACTTTGTATCGTTGTATGTGTGTGTATGTGGGCTGTTATATTGTATATGTTCACGAGTATTTTGTGGTATTTTGTACGATACCTATGAATGTGGGCTGTGTATTGGGGCTGCTTATGGAATTGTGTGTGTGGATGATATGTCACATTGTGTGTTTGGATGTGTGTGTGATGTGTGGCGCTACTTGTGGGGTTGTGTGCATGTTTGTGGATTGTCAGTGGTGTTATGTGTGTGGTTACTGTGTTTATTAATTGTGTGTGGGGGGGGATGCTTATTATACAGCTCTATGTAAATCTAACAGTGTGGGTGGCTTCCCTGGGGTCTCCCAGTGGGTGACCAGGCTGGCCACGTACAGGTCAAGGGCAGGAGCTGCTACGGGCTGCTCTACTCTAGTGCAGATTCCTATTCACAACTGGTGGGTGGAAATGATCTGAGAACACTTTCTCTAAGTGCTGCAATGTGTAAACTGAGGATTGTCCCACCTTTTTGCACTAGGAGATATCAGAAGTTCCACTGGGATTCCTGATAGGTCAAAGCCTTAATGGCTCTGGCAGCCTTGAGTGCCGTCCATGACACACGTGCCATAGGTTGCTGACCCCTGGGCTATAGTAATCTAATGATTTATTTTCAATAATAATACAAAATG